AGCTGTGCAAGTTTACCATATATTCTTGCCTGGTTCAGCATGTGGCAGCCCAGTTTAATTATAAGGATATACTACAGTATATTCATACTACACCAGTACTATAACAGCTGCATTGACCATTATTTAGTTTCTGGTGCAATTCAAGTTTTTGTTTTTCATTTTTAAAGTGTATGTTCCATGGCCTGGATATCTCCAATCCAGGATTGAATATGGCTGCTTGATATGATAAAGAGGAGAGTGCTTGCAAAGAAAAGGATGCCTCTGGAGATTATTTACACCAAGCCCATATCAAGGCTTGGTGATGGCGCCTTCTGAACTTCTGAAACATAGGAAAAACATAGTTCTTAAAGGAGAGGGTTTGGGGACAATTGGGAATTGGGGACTAATGGCTGTATTGTTTTATTTGGGCTTTAATCTTATAATGGTTGTATAGGCTGCTCAGGGCCTATGAGAATTGAAAGCCATGGAAATTAAATGATCATTATTGTCATCATCTATATAGCACTTTAGTGTATCCAAATCTGTAGAATACTCTCAGAAATAGCAGTGTTCAAAGATAGATTTATGTATAGTGCTTATTTATGTGTCTATTTCATCTGTTTCCATTTTTCCTTTTCCATCCTGTCCCTTTGCCATTTTTTATCCTTTATAAGAATCTATAGAAAAAAAACTATAAAGAGAAGCATATGTAACATGTAAAGAGAGAAACTATAAAGCGGTATCATGTTACAGTCAAGTAAATAACACGGAGTACTCAGATATATACAAGCATTAGCAGAGTATTATGTAATTATGCTTACTAGATCTAAAAGTAATTACTGCATGAGAGACAGTGCAATTTAGGGAACTGAATTAATCGTATTTATCTGGTAATTATATAGTATCTTGTAAATAACCTGACATTACATTATAATTACCATCTGAAAAAAGCTAACTTAAAAGAAAGGAAATAAAAAGGACAAAAATGTTAGCTCAAGGAAAAGAGAATATGTATTTATTGCTTTGAAATCTGTACATTCCCTTCAAAGCACAATTTTTTCCAGTCAACTTTTTGGATGGGTACAAAATCAAAGGCAATCTAAACCAAAAAAACACAAAATGTAATTTCTTGGCAAGCTTGCCCAGCAAATGACCTTTTCTAGTGATCATAATTGGTACTGAGCTTAATGAACTATATGATGAATACTTAGTCTAATGATGTATATACAGTCCATCTGAACACACAGGTGCATGGAAATAGACCAGCATAGTATAGTGGATTAAAGCAATGATATGCCAAAGACCAGAAGAAGATCAAAGTATGAAAGATGAATAAAAACACCAAGATTCAGGACATGAAATTCCATAATCAAGAACTGTCCAAGAACAGCTGACCCCTCTCCATTTTTTTCTAAAATGGTAACAATTTTACATGGAAACATTGATGAGAACCAGCTGTTCAGAATCAACATTTTGGGATTATAAAATAGAAGATGAAGGGGACCACTGGCCCCATGTGTATAGTTGAATGAAGTATGTGAGTGTGAAAAATGTAAAAGAGTTTCTCATTCTATAGCTTTTTATGTGCTATTTCACCCATTACCATTTCTATACTTGAAATCATTCCAAAATCAAAAGGGCTACAGTACAAATTTTGGTAGCTTTTTGACTATTAATTTTTAAATTAGCTTTCTGATTACATTAGTTGGGAAAATTGTGTTGATTGGCAATGTATAACTCTTAAATAGTTGTGCTGGAATTGAAAAATGCACTAAAGGGATAATTATATTCAAGCTTTGATTCCATAAATCTATGCATTCCTTATTGGGTAGTAAACATGATCTTATTCTTAAAATGTAATCAACAATTGTAATAAATTTTTCAAGCAGAATAAAAAAAGAGGAAGTTAATAAAATAATAACAATATTGCTTAGCATTTATGTAAACTAATCGTATTTTTATTTCTATATAATAGATAATGGTGAAGATAAAATAATTGCTTCAGATAAACATATGGAAGAGACTCTCATACTCTACGTTCTTAAGATGTCCTAAAGAAAAATAATGTATATTTTCTTAAGAATATTGCACTATTTTGTACCCCTAACAGAATCCTTGCAATGTGTTTCAGACACATCATACCTATTATTTATTATTTATTGATTTGCTAACTGTATATCCTACCTTCCCTGCAAGTACTCAAGGCATTTTCATTTTATTCTTATAACAGCAATTCTATGAAGTAGATTGAGGAGAGGGAGGAAGGGAGAGAAAGGAAGAGAGGGATGGGGAGAGGGTGAGGGAGGGAGGGAGAGAGAGAGACTGCCCCAAATTCATCCAGTGACTTTAAAAGTGGCCTGGAACCTTGATTTTCCCAGTCATAATCCAACATTTTAACCACTAGACCACACTGGTTGCTGCCGGTTTATTTCTGGCCCAATTTAAATGACTGATGTTGTCTTTCAACCTTTTGAACCCAAACAGGTTATCTTACAAAGCAGCACTCTCCAAATACATTTTTAGATATTCTTGGAGATCTTTCTGCATCAAGTTGTATGGATGTTTGTTAGAAAGATAATCTTTTGGATTATGGCCCTTGGTTGCGATTGGGGGCATAATAGTAATCTGTGCAGGTAGATATTATAGCTACTTTTCGATGCATAATTTGAAAAAAACCTGTTGGTAAAATATTTTGAATGGTTATTATTGGAGTCATTACATCCAGTACTCTCTCTCAAAAATTCCCATCATTATCACACTTACAGGGTTATTTCTACATTGATTTCATCTTTGAAACCACATGAAAGCAAAAGTCATGCATTTAATTAAAAATAAGATGAAATTGCCATAAATGTAATTGGAGGAAGGAGAAGGTCCAAAAGAACCTCCTCAATGTTGCATGATTCTGACGCTGCTCTTAACCTATTATCCTGTTTGATTAATACATAAACATTCAAATTGGCTAAAAGATGCCCCCAATTAATTGGGCAGAACATGTTAATCAAATTTGATTTTAGTATAAAAAATGAGATCTATCCTCTCATTAGGAAAATGCTCCTAAGGCATGCTATTATGGCACAAATATATAAAGTTACATAAAATAAAGATGTTTTTATCAATAGTGTTTTTATTCAGCTACAGATGTAATAAAAACCGTCTCTGGTAGAGCATGATTATAAAAATTACAAGTCTGTGTAGTTAACCTTCATTGATGGTATATTGATGGTTTACCATTGGTACTTTCTGAGGGGTTTTTTATTTGTTTTAATTTTCTAATCTAGTTTTACTGCAGCTATAGGATTTCCTGGTGGATCTCCCATTCCACTGTTATTAAGATCCACAGCTTATTAATGTTCACAGCTTTCTATCAGATTAAACTAAGATTACTAGGTATTTCTACTTGCTGTAGCAAATTTATTTAATTAATTACAATAACAAAATGACAGTATGGCCCCTTGCATGTACCTGCATGTATTTTTCTACTTATCCATAGCATTTTCTCAGATTTCCCCTTCTGATATGTACTCATTTCTATAAACGAAACAATAAATTGCAAGCTTCTTTTCAGATATTTACCCAAATCAAACTAAAGCTGAATTTGATACTAAAGTTTTAAATTCTGTATTTTCCCCCTCCATATTTGTTATCCTTCAAGATAATCCAGACAGAAACCACCAGCAGGAATATTAGCACTGTCTTTTATTGTAAGGTTGCATTAAATAGAATGCAAGGCTGAAAGTATTTCTCCCCTCCTCTCTTTTTGTAGTCTCTGAAACACTTTGCAAGCTTTTTCTCTGCCTACAGACTGAAGAGCCTCTTATCAAAATGTTGCTTAGGCTGTAGGTCTTCCTCATGTCACCAAAAGTCATTCCCACACATATTGACAATATCTAAGTTATATTCTTACCAGAAATGTTCAATCAGGAAATTTTGGCCAAAACTAAAATTATACTTCTATACAATTGTAAATTGAATAATAAATTGCATTAGTGTAGCATCCTCCCTGCTGTTTAGCAACCACCATCACTACTGAACTACTGGATGCCATCTCGGGGTTGGCTGTAGAACAGGGGTCTTCAAACTTGGCCCTTTTATGACTTGTGGACTTCAACTCCCAGAATTCCTCAGCCAGTCCACAAGTCATTAAAAGGGCCACGTTTGAAGACCCCTGCTGTAGAATTTCTCAGGCTTGTTTTCTTGGGAAAGTTCAATTTGCTATCCCTGGGACAGACCTTGGAAGCAGCTCAGGAGTTCATGGCCAGCAAAGTGGCCATGTGCCCATCCGAGGACATTTATTGCTCAATTCAAAACAGTGGTCACATACCAGACAATTGGCATGGGGTCCAAAAATGCCATGCAACCATGGGGTGGTTGGTGGCTTGAGGGTGCCTCTTTGGAATTTATCTTTTAAATTTTAATTAAAAATATTTTAATTCTGTTTTTTAACTTTGCTTTTAATTATGTCTCTTTTCATGTGGCTGTATGGCTCTTATTTATAAACCACCCAGAGTCACTTAGGTGAGATGGGCCATGTATAAATTTGATAAATAAATAAAATACTATTTTAGATTCACGTGACTGGAATTATGTTCTCTTTTTTAAAAAAAAAATAGTATTTATGTGGGATCAAATTGGTATTCCAGTATAATGGAAAATAGGATTTAACGTTTCTTCTTCCAAAACTTACTTTCCTTGGAAACAGAAGTGGAAGGAGTAATTCAAGACTGCTTTTATTATATTTCTTTTCCTATTTGATTCTGCCCTACAACTATTTCATTTCCCAACTGGTGGTTTATTTTTGCCAATTAAATTTAGTAGAGCAACATATTTAAGCACCCAAGTATTCCATTATCTTCTGGAAAATAAAATGAAGATGTTTAAATTAAATATGCTGTAGTATAATGTTATTTCTGACATTACGTGATACAGAAATCACAAAAAAGGTAATTGATCATTCCAATTGTTTTTGTGAACATACTTGCTTTTCTTTTTACTGATATCTGAAATTATTTTCAATACAGGGCCCAGCCTTCTATCCCAGAGTGCACTTCAGCTCAATTCCAAATCGGAAGGATCTTTCCAATATCCATCAAGCTACCACAGCAACCAGACCCTGGCCCTGGGGGAAGGAACAGCATCCCAGCTCCCAGCCCGCAGCAGTCAAGCTAGAGCTCTACAGAACTATGGTCAGGTATGTTTGGAGAAGCAATCATACTCATTTATATTAATTAATGTTAAGATTATTGAACATTATTTTGACTGAAAATATTTTACATGCATATACAAACTTCACTTACATATTAAAGAACGTGCTTCTAATTTAGCACAGCATAATTAATAAAATCAAGCAAACAAAGAAACAAAGCATTTGCTGAAGTGCATGGAGCTGTGGAAAAGGTGGAGGCTTTCTCTGAAGTAGCCCCTACTTTATGGAAATCTCTCCTTCCAGAAGTAAATGTAACTCACACCCGTCTGGCTTTTCAAAAGTACATCTTTATTTCATTGTGCTTTTGGACAAAGCTGAATGCTGGTGCTCTGATGCTTTTGTTTTTTCAATATAAATACTGTTATATTATTTGTGTGTTTAATTGGATTGGTGTCATTTTTACTGGTCACAACGTAGGGTCCATTGGAAGTGAAGTAGTATAGAGAGATCCTAAAATAATTAAACATTCATTTAGAAACTTGTGATTGTATAATTTTCCTTTAGGTTTATATAACTCTGATATTCTTGGGGAGGAGGGGTTAAATACAGTTATACAAAACTCTGAAAATTAGAGCTATATAAAAGTTGTTTCATTTTTATGATTGGTTTGCACATCTACATGTGAGCTTTACATCTTTCTGACATCCAGACGTATCCAATACATGAATTTCAGAATGCAAACTCTTGGGTGCTGCATATGATTCATAATTGCCGTGCCACATATCATGCTTCCCACTAAATCATTAAAGAAATATATTGTAAGTCTGAAATATTATTCTACATATTCAGATATTTTAATTGTGGAATGGTTTAATTATGCAACAATTAAGCCGTGATGGCATCAGCATCCTTTGGATTTCTTTTCCTCTTTTATCCATTTCATAACAGCATTTTCAAACCCATTCTTAGGGATACTAATACAGAATAGCAAAACTGTAGCACATTTTTTATAGTCATGTTTTATTAGTTTGCTTATTTTGAAAAACAATGTTGCCTTCTAAGATTGTATAGAAAGCTTGAGAATACTTTGGCAAAATAAAGATCCCACATTTGAAAAATATGTAGAACACGGCCCAAGCATTTCCTAAATATTCTGGACGTAGTGGCACATTCTGCATTTTGAGAAACAACTATGAACATTATCATAAAACCACTGCAACAAAGAGTATGCCAATTCACAGAACAGCTGTATTTTAATGGCACAGCCAGTCACAATATACATATACATTTCACAGAAAACAAACTGATAATGATAAGAGAGGAATAACTTGCTCAAGAGCCTAATTACAAAGCAGTAGGGTCTGAATCACCAAAACACACATTTGTTGTTTAGGATAGTTATTTCACAGAAAGAAATTTTGATTTCTCTGAAAGTAAGAAAATTTGATTTCTCTGAAAGTACATAGGAGATCCCAAAGTCAGATTATATTTATTTGTGTTCTACAGTTAAGTGAAGACATTTTCAAATTTCAAATACAGATCTTACCTGGCAGTTCTTTAATTTTATTGTCCCTTCTGATTCAGTGTTGTTTTTGTTTTTTACCTTTGCTATTGATTGTCAATTTATATTGTTTTTATATAAACCATCATATCTTTTGTAAGCCACTTTGAACAATGATTTTTGCTGGAAGATAAAAATGGAAATTGTGTTTTTTAAAATACATAGATATACCGTGTTTCCCCAAAAGTAAGGCCTACACCAAAAATAAGCCCTAGCTTGATTTTTGGGGGTGGGCCTAATATAAGCCTACCCCAAAAATAAGCCCTAGTTTTGGGGCGAAGCACACGCCTAGAAATCAAGCTAGGGTGGGGGTGGGGGGGTGGAACTACCCTACCCACCCCGCACCCACTTACCTTGCAGCCAGTCCTCTCCTTGCTGGCCCACTTCTTCTGAGGCCTCTTCTGCAGCCAGGCCTGCATTTCTCAGTCACAGGGCTTTCCGGAAGACCTGTGCAGCCAAGAACCGAGCTATGGATTCAATTTGTAGCTTGGTCTGCAAGACTTCAGCAGTCAAGCACTAAGCTATGGATTGAATCCATAGCTCAGTACTCGGCTGCTTAGGCCTTCTGGAAAGGCCTGACTGCAAAATGCAGGCCCGAATGCAGCTGCAGAATTTCGACCCCAGGAGAAGTGGACCGGCTGGGTGGGGCTGTCGGTGCCGGAGGTGAGGTAAGGCCTACCCTGAAAATAAGACCTGGTGCCTTTTTTGGAGGAAAAAAAATAAGACCCGGTCTTATTTTGGGGAAAACATGGTAGTAAATGCACCTACTATTTTTGTTGATAAATTTTGGTGATAGGTTTTGTATACTTGTAGTATTTCTAGATTTGGAGATGCTTCATAAATAAGTATCTTTGTTAAGTTGACAAAGCTCTTCATTAATTTACCCACATGCATTGCAGTTATAACAGACCACATTGATATATTGCAAAAGCTTTTATCATTCCAGTTAAAGTGATCATTGGAAATACACACATTCCATCATATTTTTTTAAATTGTTCCTGATAGTTTTACTGCAGTCTCCAAGATGGAATTCAAAGCACTTCATATTTCTCATTTTGCAAAAGGGCTGATGTGAGGAAGGACCAAATACCTGACCATCTTAGCTAGTTGATTTAGTATGCAATGAAAGGGAAGAAAAGTCTTAGTCAAGTAATTGTATTTTTTACTGTCACAGTGAAATATTTCTAGACTTTTCTAAAAATTCTACAAAGTACCAATAACTCTTCTTGGTACTTTGTGGAGTTTGAGCTTGAAGAATTATTTGCTGCCCCAAACCATAGAAACTAATGTATTATATCTGTTAGATGAGGCTGTATAATAGTCAGAATAAATTGTAGTAGATTTTTCCTAGAAGTAAAATGATTGCACAAATCTCCATGTCACATTTGACTATGGTCTTTGATTCTTTATTCTCTTTCTCCACATTCGTATAAAGTGTTCTTTTCTTTTAAAAACAATTACGTTTTTCTAGATCAGAATGCTGAAAACAAAATGTTGAAGTGAAAAAGAGTTAATTCACTGGATTTCTTAACATAACCTTTTTCACTTACTTAAGTAACAATCCTTCAGAAATGATGTACATGTTTATGGATCCAGACAAAAATGTTAGGGTTTCTGGCAGCTATTCACATATCCATTTAAGGGAGCTGATTTCAAAGAAAAAAATGTTAGTTCCGTCATGCAAATTGTTGTGTGTGTGTATGCACGTTAATGTGTGTACACAAAGAGAGAGAGAAAGACAGAGAGAGAGGGAGGGAGGGAGGGGGGAGAGAGAGAGAATTTCCTACCCTTGAGTATGGCTTTTTAAAGACTTGAGCCTTGCTGTCTAACACTAAAAGAAACCCCACAGTTCACACTAACATATCATGGAAACACAAAATCTCCTCCAAAAAAGGAAAGGCTCAAAAAGTATTTCACAATGATAACTTTACCATTCTGAAAATAACAACACTTTTTGAAACCCTAATTATATACACATTTATTGTGGCATGAGTTTATCATGTACTTTGTCAGAAAAAAATATCTGGAATGCTGTCAGCATTTGCATACAACATTGTGATTTTTTTCTATCAGTCCTTTTTTGTAAAGTTTATTAATATGTTTCAGTTTGTTTCTGCTGAAGATACTTTAAAATATATTTTAAAAGTAAAGGCAATGGTTATATAATGCATAATTAATCTAAATAGGAATATACAGAATTAATGGATAAAGGGACATGCAATATTTAATTTCTGCATCGATATAAATAGGATAAAAAGCTTAAGCTCATGAGCAAAACACAAAAATAAAGCACAAAGCATTATATATTGTGAGGGTTTTCAACCAAACAAATTTAACCATGGCTACTGTATATCAGTGCTACGTTGCTTATGGAACATTTTTAAAAGCAGAGACTGTCCTGGGAAAATACTGAAAATGAATCAGTGTCTAAAAAGCTGTAAGAGCATACAAAAGATCAAGCCCTAGTCAATCACAGCAGAAACCTGGCATCCTATTTAATCCCAGATGTCTCCAAGAAGCCTAGAAACAGATCATGAAGGTATGAATGAAGGTGAGCAGTTCTCTCCCTCTGATGGCAGGCCTCTGACATCAAATGAAGCTATGGGTCTCTGGATGTGCAGGATAGAGGTCTGGGCTGTTAGGCATCTGTCCATCCAGTGGAGATTCTCTTCTGCTCATATGGTGTATTTTAATGATACTAGAATTGGCTTAATCTGACATTAAATTTCACTGAATGTTGATGTTCCAAGAACATGAATCTCTACATTCTCCATGCCATACCTAATTTTATAAATCCCTAGTATGCCTCCTTTTAGCTTTCTCACTCTGAACTAAATGCTTTCAGTTTTTTTTTATAAATAAAAAGTGCTCAGATTCATTTACAATTGAGATTTACCAGCATTCACAGTTGTAAACGCTATCCTAAATGCGTTCATACCATAAATATTTATTACCAAGGAATAATTATAATAATAAAATATTTTTATTTGTTTCTTTCCTAGTTATATAATAATAATAATAATAATAATAATAATAATAATAATAATAATAATAATAATAATAATAATAATAATAATAATAATAATGTTGGAAGGGACCTTTGCAGTCTTCTGGTCCAACCCCCTGCTCAGTCAGGAAACCCTATACCATTTCAGACAAATGGTTGTCTAGTCTCTTCTTAAAAACGTCCAGTGCTGAAGCATTCACAACTTCTGGAGATAGGTTGTTCCACTCATTAATTGTTCTGTCAGGAAATTTCTCCTTAGTTCTAGGTTGATTAGTTTCCATCCATTGCTTCTTGTCCTGCCTTCAGGTGGTTTGGAGAATAGCTTGACTCCCTCTTCTTTGTGGCAACCCCTGAGATATTGGAACACTGCTATGTCACCTCTAGTCCTTCTCTTCATTAAATTAGACATACACAATTCCAGCAACAGTTCTTTATATGTTTTACCTTCCAGTCCCCTAATCATCTTTGTTGCTCTT